CATGACGAAGATTGTTATTAATTACAAATTTTGAAAAAAAGGTCTAGATTCAGACTCTACACAAATTTTAAAGCTCCAGAATATTGGGAATCTTCTTAAACCACTTTTTTATGCTTTCTGTTAATTCCGTTTAGCACGTTCTTAAAAATGCGTTCAATTTCGTGTTTTTTTTGTTAAATATTAACAACCGAGAATTTTTTAAGATTTGAACCGGGAAAACCGGGAAAAAACCGGGAATTTCCAAATGAAAATTCACTGGCCACTAGACTGATGCAAAATTTGACTTTTTCACTCCACAGTGCTTAAATGGTTTCAAATCGGGACCTGATTAGCCTCTCAAAGTTACAACTCATTTGGTTAGAAACAGACTTCGCACAAGCCATTTGAAGTTTACATGTAAATTACTATGGGAAATCTCAACTTTTTGTTCATTGCCTTCTAGTCTTTTTCCATATTGAGCTGCGAGACAGTTCGATAGCCATTCTTATAGAAAATTTTCTCAGCTACAACTTTGCTGAAGATCGTTTCTATTTAAAACGAGACAGGAAAAAGTTATTAATTATTTAAGAGATTGATATACTTATGACATGATCAAGCAGCTGCTCTGTAGGCAACACTGTATTTTGCAGTGTGACATAGTAGCCATGATTTTTGTGTCCTATTCAACGCCCCAGAAACACCAATGTTGCCTGCTGAGCAGTTGATTGAGCATGATCATAAGACATCAGCGCATTGAACCATTGATAACTTTTGATCCTTACATTTAATCAAAATGTGGTCTTGAGCAAAGTTGTAGCTGGGAAAATTTCCTACAAGTACAGTTGAAAGTTTTTGAAGCAGACCGATATGGTGAATTATTAGATAGACATGAACAAAAATCTTGGTTTTACCATAGTAACTCCCATACAAACTTCAAATGGTTTGTGCCATCTCAGTTTTTCACCAAATGGGTTCAAATTTTGAGAGGTTAGTCAGGATCCGATTTGAAATCGTTTAAGTATTGTGAAGCGAAAATTTCAAATTTTGCATCACTCTACTGGCCACCCACTCCTTAGAATTCTTTTGGAATTATCCACAACATTTTCATCGAGTTTTCCACAAAATTATCCTGGAATCCAACTCAGAACTACCTTGGTATGCTCCATAGAACATTTGAAGTACTTTCAATTAATTTAAATTTGAATTCAGAGTAGCCAACTGATCTCGAGGCAATAAACATTTATATACACCGAACCGCCGCGTGTGCACAATAAAGCCAGTTTTTGTTAATAAATAACCTGTGATAGTTTTCCGACAGTATTTCTGAAGCGTTTTCCCTAACATTATTCCTGTGCGCCCTTGCGTGCTGTTTTTTGAGGTGGTTTCCGACCCACGAACTACGGAGTGGTCAATATTTTGAATTTTCAGAATTTCTCTTCAGAATTCCATTGAAATTATTCTTAAATTTCGCTTAAATTTTCCTTAAGATGTCTTAACGGTTTTTATTAAATGCCGTAAAATCATGCTTCGATCATCCGTGGAATTTTTCATTAGAATTCCCTTGGAATGCTTCTAGAATTCTCTTGAGAATTCTTTTGGGATTCTCATAAGAACCTTGGAATATTCCTTAGAATTCAATCCGCAATTTACTTAGCATTTTCTTTATTTTTCACCAGATATCAGTAGGTACTCAGAACTACATTGCAAGCAGTCGTTGAATTTGTGTAAAACTTTAATCTCTTCAGAATTACTGTAGATTATTGCTTAAAATTCCGTAGATGGGTGTCTATTGTTTTTAGAGAACTTCTCTACCCTTTCGATAAATCCACGAATGATGATTCTTTCTCCAATATAAGGCTGTGTTTTATTTGGTGAATTTTTTCTTAAATGTTACAGATGGAAATTTTTCAAATAACCCTGTTATTCCCCGTTACTTATGGCTGACAGACAAGGCATTGATTATGACAAATACCTAGTTGAAAATCGGTCGATGAACAACAAAAGGAATTTTCGAACATTTTAATTTATTTTCGAAGTGTCAATTGAAGTGGAAATTCACCAAATAGAAGATAGCTTGAGAGCGGCGCCGGTGGTGTGATTGCCTCTCACCCCAGGGTTCAATCCCAGTCGGCGCCGCCGGGATTTTCTGAGGCATTACATCTCTGATCAAGTCTTCCTTCGGAATGGAAGTAAAGCCATTGTCCCCCGGTTCATGAGTTGCTGGATCGATAGGTAGGGTTCAGGTGTGGGAGCGAGCTGCCTCCCTGGCATCGGTAGCATTGGTGCAAGATCACAAGATCGACGGAAAACAAATCAAGGAACAAAAAAAGAATCAAAATTTCCAGGACTTGCAAGATTCATGAAGTTGTGAAATTATTAACGCCTTGAAAAATTGATTTAGGGGTAATTAGTTAATTACGAATAATGTAATCAATTTAAAAAAAAATATCAAAACACTTACCGCTTTCCCCACTCATTACGTTAAAAAGTGACGGTGAAGACATATATAGGCATTTTTTTGGATCTAGTCGATGCCTTTTCCTAGAACTTTCTGGCATCTCTGCCGTTGGATCTACATTCTTACAAATTTCGGAACCAATCTCGTTGAGTGAAAGTGAATCATGATGTAAAAGGCATAATTTTCGGAAGGGAAGACCGCTACCCTAAACAATAAATTGAGTAGAGCTCTTCAAAATGAGCAAGAAATTTTATATTTTGTTATGCGACATGAATGAGCATTAATTTATTTATGATCAAAACTTATAACATTTTCTGATCTATCATATTTTTGGAATGATAAAAACAGAGAAGTACCAACAATGGAGTTAGATGAACCATGGCAGGTTTTTCGGCAATCACTGCACCAAATTGGATGCAGCAAGCACCACATACAATGGTCACATATGTAGATCGTAACTGAATATCTTTGGAATCGGTGAACTGGTTCCGGATATTTGAACGGAACAGGTTCCGGAAATCAGATGTCCGGTGAGCCTAGGTCTAGAAGTGATCAAAAATGGTACAAAACCATAATGTGGCACATATGACTCACATACGAAAATATGATCAATAGGAGTCATATTGTGCACCCAGAGCCACATAATAATGGCTTTAGCCGTCGATGTCTCACGAATAAAAGCTTATACATGACAATTATTGATACCAACAGGTTGAAGAATGCTTATTTTATTAGCAATTTGGAGGGGTGAGCTTTTATTTGCGAGACATCGTCGGATAAAGCCTTTGTTTACAAAAGCAATTACACCCCTTTGAAATGTTGGCACTGATTTATTCTATTGACGGAATATAAATTAGTAAGAATGGTCACATCTCACCATAGGTGGATAAAGACTCACAGAAGAAGTAAAGCCTAATGAAGGGAATGAAAAAAAAAACCTTAGATTTGTTGCTTTCAAAATTCAAAGCCCCACCGATCGAGAAGTATGTTTTTATTTATTGTTTTGACGTTTCATTAGTTCGGGAGCTAAAATGTGAATGATAAAAACATGTTGTTAATCTTTTCTACATTTAATTTAGAGGATTTCATAAAGAACTGGCTGTGGTCCGTCTTACCCCGTCTTCCCACATGCAGATTTTTAATAGCTCACACGGGCTTTAGCTCGCGCATGAGGCTTAGCCGAAATTGTTTCCAAGCACGCACGTCTTGGATTCTAATCACAGCAAATTTTATTAATCATCATCCTAGGTAGCAGATAAAACACAACAAGCAACATTCGACAAAGGCGAGGAGCAAACTGAAGCGAGGAGGAGCAAACTGGACATTGAGCTATGGGCGTTTAAAGGTCAAGTTTTCACGCTAGCTCAAGTCACACGAAGCACTTCATTGGCGGATGATATACAATCGTTGTAGTGGTTGTTGTTCCTCACGTTAGACATGCGATGCGGATTATATAATCAATAGACCGATAAGCCTGATTGGTGCTCTGTATTGGCTCATTAGAAGCGAGTATGAACTTCGTTCGGGAATTTGTTTACTTTGCAATCGGGAACTGATAGGGATGTTTTCAAACATGGCTTGTTGTAAGTCAGTTTTTAATTTCAAAGTAATGGAATATGTATTACCTACTTCTAAATTTACGCCCGCATTGACGTTATAAGCTTAGAATCACACATTATCTGAATCTTATCACTTTTATAAAGTCATAATAGGGTGATTTTTCCAATTTTTTCAATTGGGTCATATCGATCCGTTTCAAAGATAACGGCTATCTGACGTCAGTAAAATGCATAATGCAGGCTATGCAAGCTGAACGTTGAAAACGTGCCTGCCATCCATTTGGATGTGATAAAAATCGGCCATTGACCCTATACCTATTTCGACAATCGCTGGTATCAGGAATCAATCGTTCCGTATCGTTCGGAATAATAGAGCAAATCTCGAGCTCATCGGCCCGTGTGCGAAGTACGACGACGGCAGTCATCCGAGCTCGGCCAGCAATCAATTATGTGCTAATATAGCACATAAACCCGGGTTCGCTATCAACGAAATCGTTATCGAGCATGCCATTACAGAGCGAATGCGTACTATTTAAGGTATTTCCCATCCCACCCACACCTTTCATACCGCGCTGCCTGACTGACTGACAAGCGTCGTTGTTAACCGAGCGGTAATGTGGGAATCTATAGTAGGTTGTAAATAAATCAAGCCTCCACCACCACCGGGATCAATCGAGTGGATTAGATGGGATTCGCGTCTAAAGTGATATGGATTTCCATGCAATAGGCCATTAGGAACTGGGTTATAGGGAATTACTTTTTGTGGACAGTCATGAACGACAATTTCCGCCTACTTGTCCTACGATGACAACCGAAACTCAACAGTCACTCATAAACATTGCAACAATGACAGTTTTTGCGGTTCGCTCGTTGATTGCTACCCCGCGTTAATAACAGTACTATTTCATCTCGAAAGCAAAATGCTTTAATTACTAGTTGATCACCCGTTAATGAGAGCTCGTTCACTGACTGCAGTTCGTTTTTTTCTATTTCCATCATTTCAGATCCCATCAGCTCGGTAACGACTGCGGAAGCTGCTATCGACTAGCAGGCTGCTACTGCATCAATCCTCAAATCTTAACGAGAAAAGGGCGAAATCTCCACATCCCAAAATGTCCGAGCAGCTGAAAGAGGAAAAGCCCAACCGGTATGGGCACGTCGAGCAGGTGGAAATTCTAACCACCACGGATACGACCCAGGCGGTGAAGCTACGCGTTGCCAAGGAAGGTATCGCTTCGCTCGATCCTATTTCAGTGCCAGAATTGATGAACCGCACGGTGCGAGACTATCCAGATCATCCGGCTATTATGTACAAGAATGCCCAGAAGACCTGGACACCGGTTACGTATAGGTGAGTAAATGCCGAAATTAAGTAAAAAGTTTATTGGAGATGCGGGGCATCGATCCCCGTACCTCTCACATGCTAAGCGAGCGCTCTACCATCTGAGCTACATCCCCTGTTGAATAATGGTGAAGCGGTGGTTATAAAATTGTGCAAAAAGTGACAAGGACAAGGTGGTCGATTGTGCTCTATTCATTCAGAATCCAGTTCAGTCTACTATACTATAGGGACCAACGGGTGTGTCGGTGACTGAAGTGACTACATAAGTGCCGCGACCGTGTGCATGGCAAGCGCAAAAGAAAGCAACAGCCGGTTTGTTTTGATTGTTTATTTTTCGCGCGTCGCGTGAAGAATGTTAAAATGTGCTGCGTTGAACTGTCGTTCAGTTCGGTGTCTTTAATGAAGTGCTTGAAAGCTATTGGTATATGGGAAAGATTGAATAAAGCTATAATCTATTTTTAGACTTAACGCACCTGTATGTCGTTTATGCTGATTAATATGGCTATACGAATCATTAGGACTGTTCAGTTTATATTCGAACAGTTAGGTTAAGAGTTGACATTGAATCCGATTGGGCGAAAAGAATTGTGTTAGACCCCTCCTTATTTGTTTTTGCATTAGAGCTATTCTCTCCTATTTGGATAAAACTTCTTCGTCATCTTCGTGAAATTATTGGGCGGGAGGAGGAATCAAGTTGGTTTTGTCATTTGACAAATATTTTTTTTTCTCACAATGGTTAGGATAGGGTGGGTGAGCCAGTAGTGAAGGCACTAAAACAATTTATTTATTAAAAAAATACATAAATATTTTGCTAGAAAAATATTGCATTGTGATTCAATTGTATACGTTTTCAAAAAACTTGTTCTACATTTAATAGGAACACTGTTCCAGTAGTAGTTGATATCAATGGTTCCTATAATCACAGACAAACAGACATAACTTTTCAATGTGTATCTTCGTTCACGGATTTAACGGTTGATTTGAATATTATCAGTTCCGCGAACTGGCCACAGCGCTGGCATCGTATCACTTTGACGTTTCTACACACTTAATCTAGCTCGGTAAAATCTCCAACAGCCGATTACATCGGTATTTACTTTTGCTGATATATCTGCAAAATATCTGTTTGTTAGCTGATATCTCAGCAAAATGATATTTGTTAGCTGAGTCTCGGCAATTGTTTTACTGAATCTCAGCAAAATAAATTACAGAATTACTCGGCTGTTGGAATCGCGGCGAAAAAATTTAAGTGTGTATACATACATTCTATAGAACTCTTTAAAAGAGTTACGTCTGTTTGTCTGTGCTATAGTGGAAACACGCATTATTGGTTTCTTATGGATTCCCTTATTATAGGAATTCTTCGCATTTTCTAGCTTATTGCTTATCGCATATTAGCTTATTACGCAGTTGAGAGCACGTGTGTGTGTTCTATCTAAATGCACTTCCATAGTTATTAAATTAAAAGCTTTCGATGCCAATTACCAATGCACGAATTTGTCGATGTATCTATGTGTATACTCTTATGCTTTCTATATGACAGGGACCGGGAATCGAACCCACCACCTTCGTCTTGGTAATACTGACTAGGCTATGAGGCACCATTTTATAGGAATACTACCGTAATTATAGGTGCAAAGGAGGCAAAATCTTAAGAAAAACAAATAATTTTCCGTCATTTTTGGGCTACTTCAAGTTTCAAGTATCGAGATCTACTCTATTTTAGGGCAGTTACCTATGAAAAATAAATTTATTTGGTTTTCCATCAGTGTTCTGACATAAAACCCACACCGCAATTATAGGTACCTACACCACTATAAGTGGAACAGCTGCCCATTCTTAAAACTGAAAAAAGCAGTTCGAGCAGCGTCTTGTAAAATAGCATGTAGTAGATTGACGTAAAGTGTCTGTATAAGTAGAGTTGGGACATCTCATGCTGTCGTCGTGGTGGACATCTTTGGACACTATTTAGGAGCCTGTTCAAATATTATAAAGCGGATTTTTGAATGCCCCCCACCAGTGATGGAAAAGTTCGCGAAAACTCACTATGAGTCACAAACTTTTCCCTTGGTGAACTTCATAAAATATCGCGAACTTTTCCAACACTGCCCCCCACCCCTTTGTCAAGGACTTTCCCTATACCTAATACATGGCGTTTAACGTATTGCCAGAGTGCCCCCTCCCCTATTGCGTTACGTTATATTTGAACGGGGCCTTAGGAGTAATCAATGCTCACTCAGTAAATGAGTAAAATTGGCCTTACTTTTTAGGAAAAAAAAAAAAAAAAATGATTGAATATGAGGAAAATCGACGAAAATTTTACTCACTCACTGAGTAACTCCACTTTTTGCACTTTTGATTCGAATTCAACTCAGTCTCTGAGTTACTCTCATTGGCCGTGCAGCTTTTTCTTCCTGGTTTTTCGTGAATAAACATTCATTTTTTTTCTTGAAATTGATAATAATTGACCACATTGGTCACTCTCGGAGTCACTGGAATGTCTCACTCAATTCTGTAGAGAAGAGCAGGAGAACTCAAGGAGAATTCCTGAGGATGAACTCAAGGCAATTCTGAGCAAAATTCCTCAACATAACTCCAATAAGATTCGAGCATGAATGCCAACATAATTGTGATAACAGTTCCCAGATAGCTTTTAAACTTCCAACAGCCTTTAAAGGGGAGATTACTTAGGAAATGCTGAGGAGTAGTAGTTATAGGGTGATGAATCGAAAAAAAAACCCCGGTCTTCTCCGATTTACATGAAACTTTGTATATTTGTTTGTTACGGGCAATAATTGACATTTTTGCTAAAGATCTTGTAAATTTTCAAAATGGCGTCTTTGAAATAAAAAAAATGTAGCACGGAATCGGCACTTTTGATTGAAATGACGTCTAAGACAAAGTTGCAGAGAAATATACTGTTTATCTGGGAACAATATACAAACAAAAATTGTTTCGTTATTTTAAGTAAAAATTCAACAAAACTGTTAAATATCTAAACATCTCAAAATGTTCATATTAGATTTTTGAATTAAAACAAAATCATAAGAAATGCAAGCTTTTGAAATTTTCAAAATAATGGACACTTAAAAATTTACAAAAATTGTAGAACAAGAACTTTTATGGAATTTTTACTCATAAAATAATGTTTACTTACTTACTTAAGGGTGCTGTGCACCACCAGCGGTGCAAAGGGCCAACGTGAAAGCTGCTCGCTTTTGCCTTGACCCAGGTCAGATTCCTACCGACTTGCTTAATTTCCTTATTGAGGCTCCGCCGTTATGAGCCCCTGGGTCTGCCTCTGCTGCGATGTCCTGCCGGATTCCAATCCAGCGCTTTCTTGCAGATTTCGTTTCCGCCCCGTCGAAGTGTGTGGCCGACCCACCTCCACTTTCGCTCTCGAATTTCTGTTGCTATCGGCTTCTGATGACATCGACGATGGAGCTCGGCATTCGAGATCCAGTTGTGACGCCACCAGGCACGAATTATATACGTCTCGATGAGTCTCATCGTCGCCCACTGGTCACCCACCATAGCCGGTCGAACTCCGGACGAAGCTAGAACAGCACTACCGTTCATACTGGCGACAACGCTCTGATGAGACAACGAAACCCTACCCCAAGCTCCTCCCCTGATCCTATCCTTCGAAAATGTACCCTTCTACCTCGAGTAAGCCGCGAGTAATCGGCCCAACTCCTACTAGACATAGAATTAAGTGAATCTTGTTACACACAGTGAACAATGAATTATCGGCTCCGTAAAGCTAACGCGATTGAGCCTTCCAAATAAACGAACTAGATAAAAAGAATTATATACCGCAGGCATCGGTGGATGAAGACCTGCAGCTTTTGAGTGCTCTCCGCTGATACACACCAAGTCTCGCTGGCGTATAACAACACAGATTTCACGTTCGTTGACTTATCTGGTTGGATCTCCATACGTTTCGTAAACTCGCAAAGGCAGCCCTAGTCTTCTTGATTCGTGCACCTATGTCGCTCTTGGTCCCGCCGTCCGACGCTATTTGGTTACCAAGATATTGGAAACTTTCGACCTTCTCCACTGCTTGCCCCGCTACCGTAAAGTTGGAAGGGTTGCCCGTGTTGATATCCAAAGATTTGGTGTTGTTGACGTGATGGTGAGACCCGCCTCAGAGGAGCGTTTGGTTAGGTCATTGAGCTTACTCTGCATATCAGAGCGCCGTTGTGCTAGTAGAGCAACATCATCAGCCAAATCGAAGTCGTTGAGATGCTCCATGGTGATAAGCTGCCAAAGCAGCCCACGGTTCGGTGCACGGTCAATTGCACCTACCATGATCTCGTCGATATTACGATGAGAAACAGTAGCGGTGATAGTATACATCCTTGTCTCACACCAGCGACTACCCGGATAGGGTCGGACAAGGCTCCGTTATGCAGAACTCTGCACGTGAAAGCCTCATACTGCGCTTCGATGAGGTTGACGATTTTATCCGGGACTCCCTTGCGTCTCAGGACGCCCCACAGATTCTCGTGATTGAGACGGTCGAAAGCTTTTTCGTAGTCAATGAATACCAAATAAAGGGACTCTTCGAATTCATTGACCTGCTCCAGGATGATGCGGAGCTTGACAATATGGTCCACAAAAGATCTTCCGGCACGGAATCCTGCTTGCTGCCGTCGGAGAGTCACGTCGATCTTCTCCTGTATCCGATTCAGAATAACTTTGCACAGAACTTTGAGAACAATACACAGTAACAAATGTTTGAAATATTTTAAATCATTTTATGTGAACAAACTGTACTAACACTGTACTAATAAAAAGTTCAAACAATTAACCCAAAGATCTTGTACTGCGATTTTTGATAGTTTTCAAGTGTCCGTAGTTTTGAATGTTCCAAAAGTTTGCGAGTTTTTTTTTTGAAAAAAAAATCAGAAATCGGGCATTTATAATAAATAAAAAATTAACTTTTGTTATTTTTTTTCAGAAAGACATTATTTTTCTCTATTGCTTTGTCTCAGACGTCATGTTGATCAGAAATGCCGTGTCCGTGCTATAATTTAAAACAAATTAAGGGTGCCATTTTACAAGATCAAAAATGGCCGAATTTCAGCAAAAGTGTTCCCATAGCAAACAATTACGTAAAATTTCATACATACGACGAAGGTCAATTAAGATTTTTTTTTTGCTATTTTGCCAGGAACTGCTCTATAGGTAGACAAGCTAGTTCTAGCCCTGAATTCTGAGTGGAATTCCATAGGGATCATGAGGAGAATTTTCGAAGATTTTCCAGGAAAATTCCAATAGCATTTTGAGAAAATTTACAAAATTGGTTTTGATAATATTTTCAGAGATGTTCAAATGAGTATTCTGAGAAATTCTGATAAAAACTTCAAACTTCAGTTGCCCCTGACAATAACTCCAAGAGAATTCTGATAACAATTCAAAGGAAATGTGAATCTTAAGATAGTTCCAAAAGATTTCTCAACCGAAGTCCAATTTTGAGAAGGGTTCAGAGAATTACGAGGAAGAATTCAAGGAAATTCGAAGGAGAACAAGGAAGTATGTACGGTTTTTTTTTTTGAAGAACGCATACTTTTGAGAATGCCTAAGAATTTTTCAACAGAAATTTAAATAAATCTCAGGAGGCATTCCAAGAACATTTTGGAGAGAACTTCAAGCGTTTTTTTTTAAAGAATACCTAAGGAATTCTACAGATAGTTCGTAGCGAAAGCTGAAAGCTGAAAGCAAACTGTGATGCCTTTGACGTTGTTCAACGAAATTGACAAACTAGTTTTATTAAGATCGGTAGCTATGATGTCTCTATCGTTCGGCTTGATTACTTTTCGTATTGAGTGTTTTGTTTAGTTTTAGGACATTTTTGGGGTGAAATTGATTAACCCCTCAAATGACTTCCAAGAAAATCTCCTGCAAATGGGGTAAAATAGGGTTACTTGAGTCCGAATCACATGTTAAAATTCCTCTACGATGTGTGTTCGAGCCAGAAATTACAAAAGATTTCTTAAAATGCATATTTGCGCCTATATGTAGGCAATTATCATAAAAATCACTGTACATTTAATAGAAAACCATTGGTTTCTCTATACACTACCGATCCTAAGTTTAAGGACACCCTCAAAGAACCATGCAAGTATGTTTTGTTCAATGATCTCTCATTTTACGTTCAATTTTCGATCTCCAAAGGTTATTTCAATGGTATGAATGGTATAGCATAAGTGTTCTACTACTACTTTTATTTCAAAATTTGGCCAACCCTATTCTGAGAAAATAAATCACGATTCTTCAGAGTAAATTTTGAAAAATATTGTAACTCTGGGTGAACTTTTAGCACACAAAATTTGAAAACTATATTGAAAAATTTGCCTACGAGGAAAGTTCCATTCAAAACCTTTCAAATGATCTGAAGAGATATGAACATAACAAATTTGTCATGTTTTTTTGGGGGTGTCCTTAAACTTATGATCGGGAGTGTATTTAAAACATTTTATAACAGTTTTTCAAACAATTTAGATTTATTAACATTTACTTTAATAAAAAATACCACTTTCAAATTAATGACAACAATTGTTGCAACCTCCCTATGTATGCTGTTGAACCAGATAAGTAAAATTGAAATTTATGTAGTAAAATCAACTTTTATGTTATGAGAAACTCGTCATAGGAATCATTGAAGTCTCATGATGATATGCTATCAAGCTTTCTCTTGGTATCTATCACCGAAAATTTTCAACGAGGCAACTAAAAACGCAACCTGCGGTGCATAGTCGCACTCATATTAGACTACCTCTACCTCACTTTTAGGGGAATTAATCAACGGTATGAAAACTTTAAATTTAATTTAATGAAAACTTCTTCGAATACATCATACCTTAGAGGTAGATGTCTTATGAAGGCACTAACTATTGAGCGCACGAAAATGACATTTTAAACCAGTTGAAAAGTTGAGAGTAGGGACGTAACAAGCAAAAGAAGATGTAGAAGAAGATATTTGTACCGATGGGCCCCGTTCTTCAGATGGGCTAACATTAGATCTATTACTCCTAGTACCTCAAGCAAATTTCAATCGGCAATCAGTGCACTAAACGATCTATTTTAAGATGCGTTAACTGAAAAATTAATTGGATTTAACGTAAGCATTCTATATTAAAAAGGAAAGCGATCCATCCCTATCGGAAATTGTCAAAGTGAACGATGCTCTAAACGTTTGGATTAATTCGAATATTGCGGGGGATCAAATCTCTATAATCCTTTAATTTTTAACATTCCTGAACGCAGCAGGACCCTTGAAAGAACGATACAGAATTAAATTAACAAACTGTTGATGACGTTTTGGAGCATCTCAGATGAATCAATTTATCAGAAAAAAGAGAAAATATGTTCATCTACCTATTGCGCCATTTTGTGCCAAGTGAACTCCTGTGCTTACAATAACCCTTCAGATATTTTTTCGCTCAGACCAGACAAAATAATAATTGTTCATCTTGAATGTAATATAGCGCTTATTTTACAATTTAATGGCCTATTGACATATTAGCGATGATAGAACATAGGAAATTATTAATTTTAAATTTTTCGGCACAATTTTGTACCTACCCTGACAATTAAGGTTCTCTGATGTTGAGTTTGTATAGGGTCGTTTAGCCTCAATGGCGTTTATATAGAGTCTGAGCCAACAGGCAGCTTGCTGGTGTTAGAAGCAAAAAATATTGTAAACATTGCTGAACACTCAAGTGACGACGTCACTCTACCCAACATTCCAAACTGCGAACAGAAAGAATCATGTAACTGCCAAAGGCTTCTCCGTGTAAAAAGATAAACATTGCAATGAAATATGACACCACTAAACATTTGCAAATTTTGCTAACACCAATAAGCCCTCATACCTTAAAGTCAATCGATGTGGAAATCTTATTTCTGATCAATCTCATTACAGGTATACCTCGATTTAACGTAACTGTCACTTTTGAGTTTCATCGTCGATTTCTCGAAAACAACAATTCAACCACACAACTTAACATTACTATCATATAGGGGATTGTCTCACCTGTCCGATAGTATTGTTACTTTGCATGATTGAATAGTTGCTTGAGTGAAATCGACGATGGAAAAGAAAAGTGACAGTTACGTTATATCAAGGTATACCTGTACCACCTCTAAATTTCAAGAGCACAACATTCACGAAACATACCACAATGAAACTGTAACTTCACACAAGGAGTTCCAATTTCTTGAGTAATGTCACAACAGCGTTTAAGATTTATGCTCTAGAAATCTTGAGTGATAGGGAATATCAGCCATCTTGACGGCCATTATTGGTCGCTTCAAGGAACTACCTTAAGGGCATTGGTTTTGCCTCACACAAATGCTACTTGCGTTCCGTCCTGTGTTTTAACTTGTACAAAGTTAAGAAGCGTTTTCAGTTTCGTTGTTTTTAAGTTTTCCCACCTTTAACAATGCCCGGAAACATTACAACTTCAGCTCGAACGCGGCGTTTAGCCCCACTATCCCCTACATCAACCAATAGTCTACATCCATTGTCACATCGCATCGCCATCCATCTAGCCGACATGACATGGGACTCGTTTAACCCATTCGTTCCGTTTATATTACGCATCTCGATTAATCTTATCGCACCATTCCAGGGAATACCGCGACCGCGTCCACAAGATGGCCAAGGTATTCATCAAACTTGGCCTGGAGCCCCAGCACACGGTTAGCGTGCTCGCCTTCAACAGTCCCGAGTGGTTCGTTTCCGAGCTGTCGGCCATCCACGCTGGGTACGTATCATCGCACCGAAAAACTTTCTTTTTATTTTATATTGCGAGAAAATGACTGTGTGCAAAATCGTAATCAATCTTCACCTTCCCCCGCACTACAGTGGCATCATTACCGGTGTGTATACGACCAATTCCGCCGAATCGGTTAAGCACGTGCTGGAAAGCTCCCGGACCAACATCGTCGTGGTGGACGACGCCAAGCAGATGGAGAAGATCTACTCCATCAAGAGCCAGTTGCCACATCTGAAAGCCGTCATCCAGACGACGGCCCCCTACGCTCCGTACGTCAAGCGGGAGGATGGCTACTATCGGGTGAGTACACGGAACACACAATTTCAGGATGAAGGATTCATAAAGAATGGACGTAATGTCGGTCGTCAAATGGGGCGGCGGCTGCTAGCACCTTTCCACAGAAAATAAAATACCTACAATGTTGCTTATCTTGAGCCTTGCCACTATCTTCGCTTGCCCGAGTTTGTTTGCTTTGAATAATAATAATAGAACTACAATGTTTCCTGGTTGTGTCTACTGCGTGAGTGGAAATTACGCTTTCTGTTCACAGCATACAAAGAAAGTTACTTTTGCAAACTTCAAGCTGTGCATGTACAATGTTGGGTTTGGATGCCGAGTCGTAACTTCATCCATCTTTTATCATTCGATTCGGATGAAAGTGCTCCTTTTTTCCCTCCAAATGTATCCCAGCGGAAACGAGGCGATTGTTCTGTGGTCTTCACACACATGGTCACACGTACGTTTGTGAGTGGGTGTTTTCTTGACGAAAATTGAATGCTTTAGCTAGGCGTACCTACGACCAACGACGACGACGACAACTTTGGATCCTGAATTGAGGGGGAGCAGTGTTTCTTTGGTGTGGATTTCGTGATCCGCTGGAAACGGAAAATTTCCCCCGGGAGCATTAGAAGGTGAATTGATTTCGGTAGGAATTGTTTCTCTGTGGCTGTGTGAGAGTGTACCGACGACCAGGGACCAAAGGCGAACCCATGCATCCAACAAGCCCGCTAATTCGCCTTTTTGTAATATAAGGCTGATACACGGCTAACATAGGGCATGCTAAGCTTTATATTAGTCGTATATTGGCCTTATATCGCAAAAAGGCGAATTAGTGGACTTGTTGGTTAGTTGGGAAGTGCAATACTTGTTTGGGATATTTTCTGAAAATTTGAATCGAAAATCGATTTTAAAATCATGAATTTTGCGATTGTACTTTTTAAATCATTTACAATCTACATCAAATGTAAATTTAAACCATTATTTTTTTTTAATTCCATTAATGTGAAGGTCATAAAAGTCACCGTACTTAGTTCGTGAAGAAGTACAAAGCAAATGCTGTGTTATGGACAACAGCACCATTAAAAAAGAACGTACTTGAAATTATGGGGAATGTCACTGGAAAAGTTCCCAAAATCGAGCTCGTTAGGAAACGGCCGATGATTTATTTGTTTCCATTATTTGTGATATATTAAAGCGTTTGTTAAGTATGGCAGCAACGCGCTTTTGTGAAGCCATTCCAAGTTCCAAGCACCGACCGGAACTCATTCAGAACGCGTCGTGATGAAGTGGTGCCACGTGGTGAACTCTGCACTACGTCAAAAGGAAGCTTCCTTGTTACCAGAAAGACCAACAGACGACGTCGACGTTCGACCGGCAGCATTGTGGAAAAGAAGGCAGAATGTCGAGTAATTGGGAAATAAACAGCGTATACGGCATTGCGGGTGACAAATATGAGATAATATGTATGGGGAAAAGATTCTCAACGTTTGGTCGTTCCTTTCTTCGTTCCCGGTGCCACACCGATAGCGGGAGGGCGGTGAACAGAAGTGGAAAAACTGTAATCAATAGCGGATGAAAAATTGCCGTTTTTAAAAGCGGGCCATGACATCCGTGAGATGCTGAAAATATTGTTTGAAAAATAATGGCAATTTATAGCTGAATTGCTTTATCGCAGGGTGATAAGATTAGCACTTTGTACAAAAGATGATGTTTTGTAATGTAAAACCAACCATTTTAAAAGCACCAAATGACGTAGCAATTGAATTTCCACACTGGCAATCCAGCTGGATTTAAAACGTTGAAATATAAGTGCTCCTTCAAAAGAAGGAAACTTTTCTCGGTTCAAGGTTCTTCGCAGAATTCTTCGATCGGTTGGCAACAACAAGTACTTCACAAATGCCCACGCGGAAAAACAATCTCAGATTCTCCTGGACCACCATCAGGGCATTATCATATTTCCTGGCAACACCTTCCAAAGTAAATGTAGCAAATGGAATCTAATTATCCCTATGTAACCGTAGACACTCTCCATCCAGCATGAATAGATTTTTCCGTGCCGACTTCTGTTAACTCGGCAGTAATTTTCCTGACTTTTTCGTTTTTCGCTCTTCTGTTGTTCTGTCCATATCCTGGTTTATGCCCCCGCGAGCAACTTTCCATTCTCTCAACTGTCGCACAATCATAGTATCTGCACCGACGCACCCAGAAGCACAAAGCATAGAAGCTAAATAAAGATTGTGATTTCCCCTCACCTTCCGTCATCCGATCCAAACACCCACTCGCTTTTTTTTTTTCTTTGGAAAGCAACGACGTCGACGGCAATGCGCTCTGTCACACAGGTCCAGGTGGAAGTTTCCATTTGAATGGCCTTTTTTACCCAGTGCGGATTCCGATTGGGAACCGGAGACAGCACTTTAAATTTTTCATGAAGTCAAATAGAATGGGACACACTAATGATGATAACACAGAGGCACACACACAGTTGAACGAAACGAGTCAGATGGACGATGAAAAAAAAACGATGAAATCTGGAAAACTTTTTCGATGAACTTTTGCGATTTTGCAGCACGTCCCCGTCCCGCACAGACGGGACCCATTTCGGCGGGTTTCAGTCGCGCAGGACACCTGGATAAAGTAATATCTCTCAAGGTTGGAGGTCCCCCTGTTACTTCTCCCCCTATCACAATCAGCGTGGCTCCGTTGGCTGCCAGGGGCTGTTTTCAATTCAATTAGAATTTTATTGAGATTATCATTACAATGAGAAGTCTGAGTTTGCTTATCTACACGGTTTTTATCACGAGAAGTTGTCGTTTTGGAAGTAGAAATCGCCTGGGGAAGGGAGAACTTAACCGGAGGTGAAATCCATTGCGGACTAATTTTCAAATTAATTTGGTAGTCTAACCTTTAGTTGTGTATCTTTATGGGCTGGTTGTGAGTTACTATGATTAACTTAGTTTGCACAATAGTTGCTACTCCGTGCACTATAAGAAGCAATGAAATTGCACAATGAATCAACGGAATGAGGCTGGATAAAAGCTGAGGGAAATTTTCAGACAACTCCAGGGAGAATTCCATGACGCAGCCCACAAACTAAGTGGGCAGTTTTTGAGAGATTTTAGACCCCTGCTTCACCCTGCGTGGATAATCATTGGATTGATGCAACATTTAAAATCCAAGTAAAGTTGGAAGGGTTGTATACTAGATACGACCGCAGGGTTGGCGTTGGATGATGTCTGTTATGTGTTGTACTTAATTGTGTATATTATATTTTAGGAATATTCCTTAATAACTCTTTTGCGAAAGTTTGGTGGCCCTGAAAAGGGTCGTTTTGTTGGGCTGATGTTGTTGGGTTTGCTCTACTCTGTCGCCCTGGAAGAGCTTTGGAATGATGTTGGTAGTTCGAAGACAGACAGCATCTCCCCTTCCAGCGTTCCCACACCCCAGTATAGTTCCCAAATTTAAGTGTAACTGTGATATTCTGGAAAGAAATTGTCTTCAAAACTAACTCTTTGTCGAATTATTGGTGGCCCTGAAAAGGGCCGTTTTGGTTGTGGTTTTGGAATGATGGTTATGCCGAGCATGGGTACCGAATGGCGATGGCGATTTTGATGAGCGGTTTGCATGCCGGTCGCTTTGCTTCAACCACGAGTGCGGTGAACTCCGTGTAAATATTATTACCAATAAGTAGAACAGCGCTAGGTGGTATGATGAACCGGGAAATCCACTCGAGATGTCGAGAGGGTAGATGGTTGTTTTGGAGGTTGTGATGAGGACGTTTTTGGAACGGAACGGGTTGTGCTCGATGATGCATCGTTCTTCTTCACACAGTCTGTGAAGCCGAGTTCGATTCTGAAATAAGTTTTGTAGAAATGCAATAAAAATGGAATCTATGGCTCTGCGAAGATTCAAGTTTCGATATTCAAGTGTCGGAAAGGCATTAGAAAATTAATCGTTAAACTCTTTCTTGATAACGTTGTGGCCCTGAAAAGTATACCAGGAGCACTGGCACCAACGCACTCGGCGTAGTTGCCCTTTCGCCCCCAGGCTCTGCTGCCGCTGCTCTGCTGCCGTTGCTCTGCTTCCGCTGCTCTGGTACTGCTGCTCTGCTGCTCTGCTGCTGGGTCAACGATCGGATAGATAATGATGGAACGGGCGACCTTGTTGGACGCTTATATAGTAGAACAGAAAATATCAGAGGTGTCAGATACTCACATCTGATGTCTCGGTTGGAGAAAGTATAAAAATATAAAAAAATCAATCGATTTTCACCATCTTTAGACAATGGTTTACTTTTAACCATTTTTCAATAGTTTACAGAATGAAATCAATAATTTTGAAATATTCAGCAAATTGCTGGAAATATTTCCAATCGATTGATGCCATTATCTCGTAAATCTATCGAGAGACGGTTGAGTTATTATCGTTCAAAATCGTTTAATTTTTCGTAACGCATCCAAAATGACTGTTTTCAATTTTGTACCCCCGTATGTTGCCGAAAGACGTTATCCAATGTCAAAATGTTCACCAGTGTTTAAATGGTTCCAAAAAGGGTCCTACTTAGCCTCCCAAAATTTGACTTTGTTTGGTATGAAACTGACTGTGCACATACCAATTGAAGTTTTATGGCTGTCCATATTTATGCAGAAAAGAGTTTTATGGCTGTGCTTGAATAAAATTTTCTCAACTACAACTTTGCTCAAAATTGTTTTTAGTTAAACGACAAATGAAATAGTTAATAATTATTTAAGAGACTGTTAATTTTATGACATGATTAAGCAGCTGCTGTGTGGGCAATGCTGTGCATTGTACAGTGTGACATAATAGCCATGATTCTTATGCTCTATGTCAAGCGCCTGAAACACCACTGTTTCCTGCTGAGTAATTGATTAAATTTTAACATTATCAATAATACTAATAACAACACTAGTTTACAGCATATTTGAACATTTTACGCTGGTAATCTTTTCCCATGTAAAATCGTGTGCTGAATCCAAACATGTAGTCAGAAAAAAATCTTAGTA